TAGAAGAGAAAGACGACGACGATGAAGGAGAATCTGAAAACAAAAAAGAAGACACTAGTTACAACAGTGCGCGATTAAAGACACGATGTTCATTCATGCAGAGATGTTTTAATAGGCCGTCCGTAAAAATGATCTCATTCTGAAGGGCCATAGCTTCGGAGGGGGGCAAGGGGCAATTAAAAAAATAAGCGTATCTAATAATCGTAAATAACCCTATTTTGGTGTGTGATTTTTTTGGGTTTTATTTTATTTTTTTTGTGTTTTGATTTTGGTTTTGATTTTCTTTCTGAAATTTGTGTTTTGATATTTTTTGTGTGTTTTTTATAAAAGTGATTTTTTTGGTCACTTATCCGTGAAAGCCTTGTCTCAGACTCACCCCTACCACACTATGGACGTCGATCAAGAGCTGCACCCATCGCTCATCATTGCACAGTTCAGTCATAAAATTTTGCCCCCCCCCTCTAGGAATTTGCTCAGCCTACGGCACTGTTATGGCAATGTATACAGGTTTCTCCAGCAGCTAGTGAGCAGACAGGGGGCAGTCTATGCTGGACTGCTGCCACCTCTTTGGACCGCAGTCGTCGTGCTCGGCCGAAACAACAGGAAGCGCCATCTATTGGATGAAGACAGAAACGTCGCAGCTAGACAGTGGGTGGTGCCACCTGGTGAGAGCAGTGGCCGTGTAGCGTCTGCTGCACAAGGTGATGCTGGCGACGATCGAGGGATGACAGGGATCGAGCTCGAACTACTGCAAACAACATTGTTCAACCTCATGGATATGTGAGCATAAATGTACATTTTCACAGATGCATCATTCATGCATATGATGTGTGTGTGTGTGTGTGTGTGTGTGTGTGTGTGTGTGTGTGTGTGTGTGTGTGTGTGTGTGTGTGTGTGTGTGCGTATCACGTATCTGTACAGTTATTGTTCAGGATAACACCTTACAAGTCAATGTCTTCTCTGTGTGGGTTAGGGTTAGGGTTCTCTCTTCCTCTCTTCTCGGGTCCTCTCTTCACACAAAAACTTCAGTATGTATGGTGCAGCAGAACGACGTGATATTTCTACTCGTCACACTAACATGCTGCCGTCTGGCAGGGCCGGATTAAGCTAGTGCGGAGCCTGTAGCATATGTTATAAAGGGGTCCTAAAAACATATGAATACAAATTGAAAACAAATTGAAAACAAATTGAAAACAAATTTAAAGCAAATTTAAAATATAACCACAAATTTAATATACTCTAAATCTAATAGATTTGCAATAGATTTACTGAAAAACTCTGCCAGCACTCATTATCGTATCAAGTTTACGCGTATACTAAAACAAAATTCAATTATGAGATAGTTTATGATATTACGGCGCCCCTAAACCACGAGGCCCCTAAAACCACGAGGCCCCTAAACCGCGGGGCCCCTAAAACCACGAGGCCCCTAAATCGCGGGGCCCCTAAAACCGCGGGCCCGTAGCAAATGCTAGTTTTGCTACTATTGTTAATCCGGTAACGGTTGCCGACACATGTGCAGGCACAGCGACGACGCCGAGATGCAGTTGTCCGTGGTAACGCTCTTCCATCATCTGGTACAGCAGCTGAGCGTTTCGGCGATCTGCGTCCGGCAGCGGTGGCTGCGCGCGCTCTACCTGTGCATGGTCAAGCACATACCGGAGCCGAAAATGCAGGTACGCATGGCTTCTGGCAAATAACCAACTTCGTGTTGGCGAATTGGCGAAGTGGACCAACTTCCCAACTATACAACCGACAATCGGCAGTGTAAATGCAAAAGTTGCGCGACCAACCTATATCGATAGCAACTAGTTGGTTGGGCGATTAGAACATGGTCTATTTTCGCCAATTCGGAACCGGAAGCCGATAACCGACGCCCGATCTGGAGGAATTAGTTTGAACTGCAAAGCCGAGGAGCCCTATTGGGAAGTTGGTCCAACTCACCAATTCGCCAACATAAAGTCGGTAGTGTAAACCCAGCTTAATACGCACCTAAGGTCACCTGACGGTCACGCCCATCGTACAATAGTACATCCCCGCAGAAGCAGTAAACGCGATGAATGAAATCTGGTTATAACATGAAGATGAACAGTCTATTGGATCCGTTATAACCGCATCGGGGATATTATGAAGAGTACATAATAAAGATCTATATTATGTACTCTTAATATTATCAAGAGCGTATTAAGCATACTTAATACGCTCTTGATATTATAGATATCTAGGAATAAATAATACCCGTTCTATACCACATTCTATAAGGTGTGAACGAAAACAACCCATTTGTATTTGTATACTTTCAATTTGTTTTGTTTAATGTCTTTTTATTCACTACTGTTTCTACCAATACTTATATACCAATATTTCTCCAAGTATTGATTTTGAATGTCATTGGCCTATCATCGAAACAAAACATTTGAGTGAGAAACATAGACATAGAACAGTGTAGGATGTACACGCGCTTTGTGTGCTCCAGGACGTATGCTGCCGTGACGTCACCGCGCTCCTGCGTGCGTCTCCCGCGCGCCTCCTGGCGGACGTCGGAGAGAGCACCGACGACCAGTATACGCTGTACGCGGCGTGTCTTGCCGCCATGTTGGTTCACAAGCAGCGACTCGACGTATTCGCGTCGTCCTGCGACGCACTCTACTGGATGTCTGTCGACAACGTTAGCATTCAGGTGAACGTGAACGTGCGAAATCATTGTGTGTCTTATCATGTGAATCTCATTGCTGTAGATTCCTAGAGGTGCATTGCTCCGATAGTGTGATTGTGTGTGTGTGTGTATGGGGGGGGGGGCGTGTGCGTGTTCGTGTGCGGTAGATTCCTAGAGGTGCATTGCTCCGATAGTGTGATTGTGTGTGTGTGTGTATGGGGGGGGGGGTGTGTGCGTGTGCGTGTGCGGTAGATTCCTAGAGGTGCATTGCTCCGATAGTGTGATTGTGTGTGTGTGTGTATGGGGGGGGGGGTGTGTGCGTGTGCGTGTGCGGTAGATTCCTAGAGGTGCATTGCTCCGATAGTGTGATTGTGTGTGTGTGTGTATGGGGGGGGGGGTGTGTGCGTGTGCGTGTGCGGTAGATTCCTAGAGGTGCATTGCTCCGATAGTGTGATTGTGTGTGTGTGTGTATGGGGGGGGGGGTGTGTGCGTGTGCGTGTGC